CAAAGAGCTTTCTGGGTCTGATAAACCGTTAAAATGCGCTGCTAGTCAGCCAAAACAGATCAATTACTGGACGAAATATAGACAAGGAAAACTTGTGACTACCAGATCCTTTCAGACTACAAAACTAGACGTACGGAGGACAGACCACGTACTTCCCAAAATAATGATTCCTTTTTTGTGTGGATGTACATTGTCCGACAGACTTGCGTCCGGCATACTTGCATCAAATCCCGACATCAGGATCAAAATCCGATCGTACGTGTCAAAAACTTCGTACTTGAATACTTTCTTTTTGGAACATAAAAACTCACATTTTGTCATATCCCAACAATGAACTTCAAAGTGTCTACATCAATGTTGATTCCAAGGACAAACTACCAATTGTCATCGATACCGGAGCATCTCTTGCTTACTCCAAATCTTGAAGACTTTGTTACCAAACTGATTGCTTGTGGGACAACTAGCCTCAATGGACTGTCATCCAAGATTCCTGTGCTGGGTGTTGGAGAAGTGAAATGGAAAGTTAGGGATTTGCATGGTGCAATCAAGTCAATTTGTGTTAATGCTTACTACGTCCCAGACGCTCAAATCCGATTGCTCTCACCACAGTCCTACTTTCAACAACACAGAAGTAGCCATGTTTGTTTTGATGGAAAACAAGTGAAGATGACGTTGCCTGATGGTGAAAGTCTGTTCTTTCTATATCAACCAAGCAACAACCTCCACATGATGCTACCACCAAATTGTCTCATGGAAGAAGCTGCCCATATCATCACAAATGAAGAAGAGGAACACTTGGACGACAACATGAGTGTGTTCTTGAATGTTGGTCATGATAACAATGCAAATTTGACCAGGGCAGAGAAGAAGTTGCTTCTCTGGCATGCAAGCGAAAACAGACCATACGAATATGAAATGGCTTCTGAAGCTCTCCAAGTGGACCAAGAAGGAAGGTCATGCAGCAATGGGGCCTCTGCCTTCCAAGCAAAACGAGTTCAAGTCCTGCAATTGTCCCAAGTGCACTGTGTGTCAGCTTTCAAAGCAGCCCCAACGCAGTCCAAGATCTGATGCTGCAACTCAGCCACCTGGCTTGAAGCGGAAGGAAAAGCGGAAGAAGGAAAAGGAAATGATGGTTGACAACCTCAAGCCAGGCGACATGGTCTCCATTGACCAGATAGCTTGGCTGTTCCTAGTCGACTTGCACATGCTTTTGGCGGAGAGAAGACTTCCAAGCAATATGTTGGAGGAGCTCTGTCCGTTGACCATGCATCTGGTTTTGTGGACATCAATCACCAGACCTCCACTGGCACTAGAGAAACTGTGAAGAGCAAGCATTTGATTGGTGAATACGGTCACAAGGTCAAGGCTTACCATGCTGACAACCACCCTTTCAGTTCTAAAGGATTCACGGATGATGTCAAGTTGCAGAAACAGACAATCGATCACTCTGGAATTGGAGCTCAACATCAGAATGGAGCTGCCAAAAGAGCGATCCAAACCATCACTACATGGGCTCGTGCCATGCTTTGACACCAATTGTTGCATTGGCAAGTCAATCACAAGCTGTGGCCCTTTGCTATGGATCATACAGTCTATTTTTGGAATCATGTACCACACAAAGATACCAAGCAAGCGCCAATTGAGCTCCTGGGTGAATCCAAGATCGACCATCATCAGTGGTTTCAACGTCTCCATGTGTGGGGTTCGCCGGCATATGTGTTGGATTCAAAACTGCAGGACAGGAAGAAGATTCCAAAGTGAGATGCCCAAGCATGGCGAGAAATGTTCCTTGGGGTCTCTCATACTCACTCTTCACTCGTGAGCTGTGTCTTGAATCTCCAAACAGGATACGTCAGTCCTTATTACCATGTTGTGATAGACGACCTTTTCACAACAGTTCCTCCTAATGCAGATCAGGGAGGACTGTTTGATGTTGCTGAATTTGATGCGACAACTTGGAAGAATCTATTGGAAAATGGCCACAAAAAGCATTTGGACAAGGAAGGTTTGGCAAGTGCAAAGCGTCATGATCGCCAAAATCCTCCTAGTATATTGGCAAACAAATGGTTAAATCCTGTTGAGCATTTGCTAGGAAGTCATGGCGGGCGGCACGCAAAGCGCAATTATGTCAACGGATCGCCAAAGAACGTTGCCGTAGAGCTGAATGGAACCGTCACAGTGTCACTTTTGAGGTTCCAGAGGGAGACTGTCGTGAAGATGAAGATGGAACTGCGCAGCCAAATTCGAATCACAACATGAATGACAATGAATCTTTGGCTTCAGCACCTTCAACAACAGATCAGTTGTCATTGAGGCTCAATATGCAATCTGTATCTGTGGCTGTCCGATCATTTGGAAGAGTGAGTCAATTGATGCGACCTATTGCAGCTTCTACTATGGAAGCGGAGTATAATGCTCTTATATGGGATGTGCTACCCTTGCAGGAACTCTTCAGACAATTGACCAACCTGTTGGAATTGGCAAGGAGTTCTGCAATCATTACAGCACAACTATTCATGAAAACAACAAAGGTGCCCAAAAGTTGGCATGTTTGGAACCAGGTCATCATACTCCAAGGCTATTTCTTCAATGCAGAAAGCTACTCTGCGGCTGGTAACCACCTTCTTATCTGTCAAGCACATCATACAACTCAAGTCAAGTCCAATTTTCAGAAGAGAGGGAGTGTTAGGAATCCTGCTGATATATTCCTCCCATTTTGGCTTCCTCATAGGATGCTGATCTTCGCTTGAGATTCCTTATTCCATTTGTGCACACGTACTTCAACATGCACATTGTCCAATCTCATGTCACCACGTCAGTGTCATGTGAGACAGACCTACTGTCTGAATTCTCTCTTTTGATTGAATGTCATCTCTCACTCTTTTGTGGAGATCGTAAAATCACATCACATCATTAAGAGAATAGAATATCTGTTATATCTTACTGTCTGGCTATATCGGTCTCAGATCTATAGCATCATTAACAGTATTTGACCTTGTCAACAATTGCTCATCTCCCCCCTATTGCTCACCAGAGAGACTATTGCTAGATGCATTGTTGAATCATTGTCTTCCTTTCAATGTGTTATTGTATTTGCTGCAATTTTTGCATTCAACACTCAGTTGGGATGGATATATTAAGGAAAGACTATAAAATGATTTCATTTCTGCCTTTTCATTGTCCCTATTTCGCTCACCAAAGTCAGTTTCAATGCTAATGAAATTCACACAGTATCTTCCTCTATATACTATTGTCTTGTATTTGGTAAAATCTCATTGACTTATTGTGGTATGTGTGCAGATATAAATACAAAGCTTCACTGGCAACACAAACTGTTGAATTTGCTGTTTCGTTCCCAAACGAACATCTGAGTTTTTTTAATTTCTACGGCCAGATGTTTCTACGCATTGCACCAACCATAGAATGAATGGAGAAATATGAAGTTTTTTTTCTACATGGAGAAATGATAGAACTGTGCATTTGTGGATTCCAGATTCCATATCCGTTATTTTCACTGGAGGACGTAGATGCAGTGCCTGCGTAACCTCTTTGAATCCTATCCAGATTCTGGTTGAGCTTTTTTTCATTTCATGAAGGTGACATGACAGTTATTTTTATTACAATTTGTTTGGCCACACAACCCACTTGAGAAGCAATGAGACCCTGTCTGTCCCCTTGCATCTATTTATGATACCCCGTCTTGCAGACACTATCATATTGGGGGATATTTGAATATGTTTCCACCGGTCACCACATTCTTGTTTTCTGCAACAGAGGCAGGTTCTGCTGAAACCTGCCTGTATGTTGTACATAGAAGCTAACAATGTACCTTTTGTCTCCACAATTTCATGGTTAAATAAGTGACATGTGTGCGCACCCCTGCGACACAATAGAATCTGCAACAACGGAATCTTGGAATTCAGGCCAACTGCTGAATCGGTTCAGCAGGGAATTCAGTCAACTGCTGACAACTGTTAATTTTTTTCAGCAGTTGGCTGAATTTGTTCTACAGTTAGAAAAAGTACAAGATTCCCTTTTCCTTCTGTGTGTGGATTGCCAATCCCAAGCCTTCAACACCATCTTAGACAAGCAACATAACACCTGATTGCTTGATTGCACACATTGTATTTGTTTCCTTTTAAAGGACTGTATGATTTATAGTTGTCAAATAGATATTGTCTTCTAGGATCTAATGTGTTGTCTTTATGTAAAGGGAATCTGATGAAACAGAATCTTTGAATTCAGACCAAATGCTGAAAAAATTCAGCAATTGTCAGCAGTTGGCTGAATTTTTTTCAGCAGTTGGCTGAATTTGAAAGATTCTATAGCGGCATGCTCAAAAGATGCTATGCTGGCGAATACACCGTTAAGTCAACTTTCATGATTGATTTTACTCTGTATCAAGAGTAAAGGCATGGAATGATTGGAAGTGGCAGTCTATCGAGAAACAGGCACCTATGATCAAGGTTGCAATTATCACATCGGCTTCGGTTGCATGTGTATTTGGATCCCTAGCAAAGTTTACGCAAAAGGGACTCGCTCGAATTGCCCCCACATTTCTTTGATTCTTTCCGGACCAATCCCCATCCTCCTAGCCACCTTTTTGGGATGCGCCATGATGAAAATTGCGCTTTGCACAGTGTTACAGAACATCATGAATGAATGCAAACACACTTTATTATCAATTGAGCTTTCGTATGCTTTTACGCAACGTTGGACAGCTGCCTCGAACTCCGTGTATTGATGAGTCAACGTACGCCGTACGGGCGGGTTTCAGCAGAACCTGTCTTGCTGGCTGGCTGTGAGGGACAAGAAAAGTTGTCATGGTATTCAGAGGGGCTGTTTCAAAATATTCTTTTGGCATATGAAAGACATAGAATCGACTCATCCCACCTATGTGATAAAATACTTTTGAACATGTTTGAAAACAAAACAAGGACAATAACACCGCATCAAGGTTAACATTGGCTGGGACTCGATGAGTGAAATAGTTTATGATTTTTCATACCCAAGAATGTGCAGCAATACCGCTTTGCCGCAAGCTTGTGAATAGATCCAATGAATCCTCAAGGGTACCCATTGCAGTATTTCTCCAGTAGTACAAAAGGCCTTTCATGCGCACGTGGTGCTCGAAATAGAACTGATCGACAAGCTTTGAAAAAGGTTCCTTCAAAAGCTGATGTGCTAGTGGAAGCTCGATTGCTGGGGTATCAATGTCAATCTTAATAACAATGAAATCATCCTCTTTCATTGCCTTTAAAATCGAATTTAAGGGATTGTACTGGCTTAACGGATCTGATTTGACGCCCACGTTAAACCAATGGTACGAGGGAAGTAGATGGGCAGGGATGCTTTTGAATACCTCATTGCTTGAGAGCTCGGTTCGTTCAAATGCGTAGTAGTGATCGAACTTGATGCCAAAACGATTGTACACATCGACGAGCAAGAGGGTAGGATTTGCTCTTCGTTTACGTGAATTGTGATACTGGAGTGACGCACCAAGGTCCAAAAAAATTGTCCTTGATGTCCGTTTCATACTATGACATATCGATGCAAAGTCATGAACCAAGTAATCGATATTGAGGGAGTATTTCCGGTGATGTTCACAAAAGGAAGGGTGGCGCATTGGTGGTAGTAATGGTTCAAGGCGGACATGGTTTACTTGGGATAAGAACCCATCTTCAAACAGATGCAGTAGGTTAAGCGAATCACAAAATCTTGGGTGAATATCTTTGTTGACAAGGCGAACGTCATCTATCCCGATGTCGAAGTTCTGGACTGCAACGGAGTAGTTATCTAGCATTTTCGAGTATCTGCGATATTCGCCATACAGAAATTTCCTACTTTCGTTGAGAAAAAGGTCACATTCATCAACGTCAACGATGTCATAGTGTAGATGCGATCGACTGACATTCATCATATCACATTCTAAACTAGATGGTACATATGGCTGAGGTGATAATTCTCGCGCATCGTGTAGAATCATCATTTCAGTGGAATAAGTTGAAAAACAGAAGTACTTGATGGCCGCAAACACAACGAGTAAAAATCGAGTATATGTGCTACATACCCTGTTTCTTCTCTGTAATATTTTACATCCTCCTCGATTCCTGAATACCCAGTTCCGTTTCATGACTGAAACAAGGCACAAAAGTTCCAACTATTCGCCAAGTGTTGCTCGTTGTGCAAAAATGTGGTGATGCGGTCGGCGGTCGATCTATGTGTACGCATTGTGTTGCTCGTACAATATGGTACACTATGTACGCATGTCGTACCTTTCCAGCCAGCTGCACATTTCCAGCCAATCAAAATGTTCATCCAAACCAAACAACCTGCATCTGAAACGGTTTTTGTTTTACGCTGGTGGAGCAGTTTATACTAGATCCCCCGGGGAGAAAAGAAGGGGAGAGAGAAGAAGAAAGGAAAAGGAAAGAAAAAAGGAAGAGAGAAGAAAAGAGGAGAAAGCAATAGGATTGCAATGAAGGGGCTCTACAACACAGTGCTGGTTTCACACATGGCGTCGCAAGATGGCATACGCTATGCCCCTGGCGTTAACCAGGATTTAGACAGATTTAGAACAAGGTAACAGTCCATGAATGTTTGATGTGACAATCGATGAGTCCTAACCGCTTACAGTATTGGAATGATTTCCAAGAACCCCTAAGCCAATAACAATATCTACTATCTTTGCATGTCGCAGATTAAATTGAAACTTTGAGGCTCGTCGCACCTTGATTTTTAGTGTCTAAGATTGGAAGCATGGAAGTGATGTCAGTGTAAAGACGGCAGCCCGATCTTGTGTCAACAACAAACCATTTGGAAGCAAGGTGAATCAAGGCATGACTACTGCTCGACTCTAGCAGCTGATGCTATTGCTATGATACTATTGAAACGCTTACTTATGCCAGGCTTGCGAGAACCAGCCAGTATTGGATTCGATATATAATCGGCGGTGACCTCAATGGACTCAACGTTTTGGGAACCAAGCAAGATGATTAAGGGTCACCACAAATCCCGGTGTCACTGCAAAGGGAGTAAATACGAGGTCCACGAATGAAGGCATGCAATAATCAACCGGTTTTGAGTAAGATTCACAGGCAAAAGCATAGACAGAAACCTTTTATGGTTCCTTGTTGGCCAAAGCCGCGATAGGAAAATCTGATACAGTATTGTCATAGTTGATGCTTTCAGATTCGGGTATTGTTTATTCTACTCTGGCGGCAATACAATCAACCTTTTTGCACCCGTTTGAGACAAGGACTTGATTCCAAAGGTGAAGAGACTACTCCTACTACCACCTATTTATACCAGTATCAGCAGTTGATTTCAATCTGCCATCAGAGAAGTCTGAACGATACTCGACAAGATACAGTAGTAATATATCTGCAAGATTTAAAAGTTCAGTTTCTATCATTGGTATCGTTGGATCTATCTATTACATCATGTAGTACCAGTCAATTTGAGTTGCCAAGAACCTACCATCCCATCTTCAGGGAGCTAGAAGTGATCCTAGGGGATCTACAGCGCTTCCTCATAATCGAGGGCTAGGGTGGGTCCTTAAGACAAGGTGTTTAGTCGTTTGACAAGACAAAGAGAAATTGCTAGGGCCGTATGGAGCTTGGACCTACTAATTTAGTCTGGAAGAGAGTTAGTCAAATCCATCATTAGTGATGGAGAGCTGTGATTGGCTCATACCACTAATATTAGACTCATCTTTGGTGAATCGACTAACTCTCATTGGCTAAAAATTCACTAAAGAGCCCACCACCATAAAACAAGAACCTCTGAAACAGTACGGGAACGGCAGGGAACTGTGGTCCGATTAGTCATTTCGCACGCAATAGCATCTTTACAAGGGAATCTTGCAGGCGGAATCTTGAAAAATCAATGCAGCGACCAGCTCATCCGCGTCCACAAACAGTCAGTCAAAATAGCACGGCTCGGCCGTGCGGAGGGTGGGAGAGAACAAAGGAAAAAGCATGCCCGTCCTCTTTAATCATTCCCCATTTTTTCTGTTCGTAGACCACTTTTCCATATTTAATAAGAAAGGACTCTGTGTATAAATGTGGCGGGTGTATTCGATGATTGGACGGCATGCTGCATGTCAAATTGACATAGCTTGACTGGCTCGTGGTCAATTTGACCATGGCTCTACTGGCTTGTGGTCAATTTGACCACAGCCCAATTGGCTCGTGGTCAATTTGACCATGGCTATACAGGCTTGTGGTCAAATTGACCATCCAATCAAATCACCCCACTTGAAAGTGGTAGTTTTTTGAAAATTCTCACATGATGCACTGTACGGTAGGTGGTACAGGACAATACGTACCGGCACACATGGACAGACGTACCTCTTGCGCACCCATCAACACCAAAACCGAGCACCAAACACCTGTCACAAGTGGTTTGAAGCAACTGCCATCAATCACCAAAGTTTTCCTCATCTTTTCTTCTGCTGGAACAACAAAGTCCGGTCACACTGTGGTCCATCAACGATGTTTCCTGACGATCAAATGTTCCAACAACAGAAGAAGTGATTGAAATGATTGATGATGAAGTATCGTCCATTGGTGTAGTGTACCCAATGCCATTGTCTTTTATCATCTTGCTGTTGCTTCCAAAGTTCCATTGCTTCCGAAGATTTCCAGTCAAATCCGTCAACTGGCAAATCCGACTGAAATGATGAATCGGCATCTGCGGGCCCCAGGAAGAAACCAAATACAATGGCAAGCTTCATTTTGTATAGAATACATTCACAGCTGCGATTGGTGATTTATTCTATACCTTTATCATTCCACAACCAACCAATGTTGATCAAACTGCTTCTGTTGGCTGGTTCCTAATGTCGGTTTGCCATTGTTCAGCAGGAGGTTCCCATGACCGCCATACTACCGGGGCACAACCACTCAACAATACACCAGTCGCTTCTTTCAATCCTTAAGCCTTGAGCAGTATGTGACCTAGTCATGGATTCCGCCTAGATCCAGCATACATTGGCCTAATTGGTGGGGTCAAAACAATGGTAAGTTCTGCTTCAAAACTGGTATTGGTCGAACTGTGGGCCTAATTTCTCCAAGCTTCTTTATTCTAACGCATATTTGTCGTGCATGGGTATGAATATCATGATTGGGGGGTTGGAATGGGGGGTTTCTGGGTAGAAGTGATCGAACCACAGGTACTTGGTGTGGATAATAAATTCAGCATAGATTTGGAGAACCTTTACCATTTGTCATGTTGTCACCCAGACAAGGGCGGGCCTTCACCAAAGTTTTTGATGTACCAGCAGTTATCAATATTTGGCGATGGTTTGAATTGCTGCAATGGGAAAAGAAATTTTTGGCTCCTTTTTTCAACTCTTTGCAACAATTCAAGTGATTTGGAGGGATTTCCTTCAATCTGATTGGTTCTACCAAGAAATCTTCACCAAACTTTGCAATTCACAGTATATAGAGATCTATTACAGATATTACCTAATAGTGGTGTAGGTCGCAATAGCACGGTTTGTAATCACAATAAGGTTGTATTATACAAGATAGGATCTTTTGTCTTGTGGTTTTGATAAAAGTCGAAGAAGTCAATACTTCGGGAATACTTTGTTTTTCCATCGCCACGACAATCACACGAGATGATTGGATGGTCAATTTGACCATCCAATCATGTTGTGTGGAGCCTTTGGACGTTGTGATTGGATGGTCAATTTGACCATCCAATCATATTCTCTGCATCCTTCGGATCTTATGATTGGATGGTCAAATTGACCATCCAATCATCTTGTCTCAAGTTTTCCAAGTAAATGATTGGATGGTCAAACTGACCATCCAATCAAAATGTCTCACTTTATCACATTATGATTGGATGGTCAATTTGACCATCCAATCATAATGTCTAACTTTGCCAAAGTATATGATTGGATGGTCAAATTGACCACCCAATCATAATGTCTCACATTGCCCAATTCTGATTGGATGGTCACTTTGACCGTCCAATCATATTGTCTAATTTGTCCAAGTATATGATTGGATGGTCAATTTGACCATCCAATCATATTGTCTTGAGGCACATGGGCCCTAGGATTTTGTCCAAGTATGATTGGATATTGTGTGGAAAACCACGTGCCCTTCGAATTTTGTCCAAGTATGATTGGATGGTCAATTTGACCACGGCTCGATTGGCTCATGGTCAATTTGACCACGGCTCTACTGGCTCGTGGTCAATTTGACCACGGCTTGATTGGCTCATGGTCAAATTGACCAAGGCTCGACTGGCTCGTTGTGGTCAATCATCACTCAGCCGGTCATTGCGCTCTCGGCGGCTATTTGTAGTAAATTGAATAACAGATATTTCCACTACTTATTACATGATTCACGTTGGTGGCACCGGAACAGAATGGACGAACTGTTGGCCAATTTTTTTCACTCTTGCAAAAGAGAAGACAGCCTTTTTTATTCATCTGGCAAGTTGAATCGTACCGTTTTTTCGAATGTCCAATTTTTTTGAAATTCCGCAACCCTCAGATTCCTTTTCCAGTCTCTCCCCAAACGTTTTGCCGACCACTCCGACCACCGTTCCCGGCCGTTCCGGTAGGTATGACCTTTTTAGGAAGAAATTGCCCAAATTTTCCCATGGTCTGCCCTTTTTGCGGCATGCCTTGTCTTTCCCAAAAGTTCCTTGTCCTTTTTTTCACAAGGAGCCCCCCTTTTTTGACACTCCTTTGGGGCAAATGACACACAAGAGTCATTATGACAACCATGAGACATTGGTTGTCAGGTCCTTTTCTTCTAAAAAATCATCGTTGTCCTGCACATCCCAATGTGATGTCCTTTTTTCACAATCCATGGGCAAAAAGGCTATTGATTAGCATTTTATCACTCCCCACACTCTTTCTTATGGCACTTTCTTGTCATGGCAAGCGAATCACAAAGCAAGAGGCCCAAGTACAGAGATGTTCCACTACGGTGTCTATGCTGTAAAAGAAACTTCAAGGGGCAATATAGCAACAAACAAGGGAAGCTTACTTCATCAGGTCTTTCACAACACCTTAGGTCAACTGCAAAACCAGGTTTTAAGAAGGACCCCTGCTTTGCCATGGCTTATAGAAATGAAGTCTGCAAGTCTGTTGATGAGATTGACTTTAAAGATTCCCGTGTGTTCCAAGCTAATCACCATGCCAATCCCCTTGGAGCTGGGGATTCTGTAAGCGATATCACTAGCCCTACTGATATTATGCCAGGCTTCAAACCTGATGGTGGATCAGAAGAAGACACTGCTGCCATGGAAGAAGAAAAGAATGAGACAGAAAAGAAGAAGGGGTCATTTGGAATGCTTTGGGAGCCACTCTGTTGGCTGATCTTCAGGAGTTTGTGTCAAAGACTCTTTTTGCCCATTATTCTGCTCCAGAAAGCAAGCTTAGCAACCAACAAATCAACAGCCAGACATGCCCATCTAAACTTCCACCTCAAGTATCTCAGGAAGGGCTGAGGAATTACATCCACTCCTGTCTCAACGACAATTTGGATCCTAGTTTTCAAACAGAAGACGATGGAGAATCTGTCAACTTTGAGTATGATGATGATGACCAAGTTGGTGAAATGGGATCTTAATAGCTAAAAGAACAGTCGAACATGTCGGAGAGTGAAGTCGGACATTTGCGATATCAAACACGGACAGAAGTACGGTTTGAGTACGTACAGAGATGGATAAGTATTGAAGGTAGATCTACTCTGTGACTAGTTCGTGAAGAACATGTGCATATGTGCTTTATACGCCGCGACAGCTGGTAAGAGCTGACGCAGACGGCTTCCGGAAGAGATTTTTTGTACCTGCTTGTGGAGATCATTGTTGATCGACTTCTGGCAAGAATAGCAGTAGAATAAGATCTAATAGGAAGTGGTGAGACTGTTCATCTGCAGGTTGAAGCCCAGCATCACTGGCACCTGTTCCTATTGTAGGCAATCCATAGCCGATGTAGATTTGAGCTCAGTATACTCCAGAGGTAGCTAGAGCGTTGAGGCTCTCATTACAGCTACGGAGTTGATTATCTGACAGTCGATCAACAAAGATAATTTTTTGAACATTGCAAAGTAGGAGGGACTACAGAGCAAGATGCCTGGTAGAAGAAACCAAGGCAGAGGCGGTCGAGGTGGCCGTGGAGGAAGATCTGCACAGCAGACTGGTTGAGGGTCTCACGGCAAGAAGGCCAATAGACCGAAGCAATACCATCCTCACAATCCTGACTTCACTCACAAGCAGGTGACAATATACTTGCTTGAGGCCATTGCGCTCAAGAGCTTGGACTACGCTCAAGATATGATCTGGAGTGTGAGAAATATGGCCCATGTGGACTTTGAGGCTTTAAGAGGCACTCAAACGGTCTACAAGCCGGGAAAGAACGACTCCGAGTTCTTCAAAAGTTCGAGACAGGCTCAACTTGATAGGAACTGGGAAAACCTAAATGTCAAGATTGACAAAAGAGAAGTGATCTACACCACAAACCAATATACCGTGGCTGCGATCATCACCAAGCATTTCATCACTCAAGCGATGAGAGATAAGTTAAGCAATGAAACTGATTGGTTGGACCTCAAGGAAGACCATGTGATGCTTCTGAAGCGTATCAAGACGTTCATGACCATCACAGACGAGACCGAGTGGCAACACTTTGGACTCATGGAATCTCTCAAGAGATTCACAAACTGCACTCAGAAGCAAAATGAGTCTGTGAACAATTACAGAAGGCGGTTCGAAGCTCAAGCTGACCAAGTATTCGAAATCCTTGGCACCGATGTGTTGCATGTCTATGCGACCAAAACAATGGGATACCTGGATCTGTACGATCCGGAGGCCGATCCGGACGATATCAAGGCGCTCCAAGACAAGTTCAAGAAAGAAGTTCTGGGCACATTTAAAGCAAGTGCATTTTTCTACAACTGCGACAGGTCTCGCTTCCAAAGCATGTTGGACAAGGCGAACCAGACCTACGCCATGGAATTCAAGGAATAGGAACAAAGAAACGAATATCCGACTACAATTGACCAGGTTGCTAAAGCACTGATCAAACATAAGCCGGACAATAGAAAGAAAGGTCCGACAACACCGAGACCTACTCCAAGCGCAACCACTGCAAGCAGCAGTGCCCCTGACGGAGTGAGCAACACACAGGCAACTGCTCGAACGACATCTTCACGACCGGCTTTTAGTTGCTGGTGTTGCGGAGATACTGGCCATGGGGTCACCGGTTGTCCCGAACGCTCCACACGCCCACAAGCGGAATGGAGCGACCCAGGACGATACAGCGACGCACCCACTACTACTACTACAAGACGAGCGGGGAGAGCCAATCTCCAAGTCCCTGTGACTGCATCTGCGGCGCAGTCGGATGCCGCGTCTAGCGTCACTGGAACGCAATCAACTGGTCACCAACATCGAAGCAATATGCAACGAGCTGTTGTTGACAGAAGTGGAAATAGCTCTTCTGGTACTACGGATGTAACCGGTTCTTATGTGGTACGAGGCAGATCTGTCGCTGATGGACGATCTGATGGTAGGATTACAGGATGGAACCTTGCACAAGTATGTGTAAGACCGATTCTGAAGAAGAAAGCAGTCTCCACTGAAGACAGGGGAGAGTTGCTAATGAAGAAATGGCAAGCACAACTAGAAGCTGCCAGTAGAGAGTTGCTAATGAAGAAATGGCAAGCACAACTAGAAGCTGCCAGTACTTTCAAGGACAATGATAGCATGGTCAGCGATGCAAGCTTGAACATGCAGATCTACAAGTCGACCTTGAAGATGGATTCATTGAAGCACTGTTCTCAATGGACCAAAGACAACAAGAAACCTTTCAAGTCTAATGGAAGTAAGCACTGGGATATCGATCTTGGTGTGCATCTTGATTCTGGATCTACGTTCAGCCTACGAATGAACAAAGATTATGCCAAACCGGGCACTGTGTCTGACCTGGATTACATGTTCAACTACGGTACGAACACTGGCCAACGTGATCTGCATCAACAGGTCGAATCAAGTGATATCAAAGGACACACTTGCTTGCTTGATACTGAAGCGCAATGTAACCTTGATAGTTTATCCGAGCTTGTGAAGCTTGGATTCCATGTCGTTATGGACACTGATATTGAAAACTCCTTCATCGTTACGAAGGGGGAACAAAGAATGAGGTATGTACATCAAAACGGATTGTATACTTTCGTGCCCGATGGTAGGGCAGAGAGTGATGAAGGGTCCGAATACTCTGAATGTGAATACAGAGAATGCGGAAATTGTGACTGTGACGCAATTGGTGTCACACACACTGAATGCCATAAATATGGTGCTATTTTCTGTGGTAGAATTTTAAAAATTAGCTATTCCGATTCCGATTATTGTGGCATACAGACGGTACGGGAGAATATCGAAGGCTTCACTGATAAACAAGTTGAGCGGGCTAATCGCGCACGATCAGTGTATCATATGGCAGGCGCACCAGGAGTTCAAGCGTTTCGTATTGCAGTAAGATCTGGTCTGTTCAAGAACTGCAACGTGAATGATTAAGATGCAATCATTGCCAAAAATATATGTGGACCTACTTCTCACAAGGGGTAAAAATGAGACCCACTGAGAGATACAGAAGAGAGAAATCAAGATTTGGACAGGCATACCTGCAAAGAAGGAATCCGCCTGTGCCAAACGTTTTGAGAAACAGGCGTGCGATGAGAAGAAAAGCACGAATGAAAAGACTCCGAGTCTCGCTGTATCAAGCGATTAAGAAACAAATTGACACGCAAAGAAATGGAGCACAGTTGCAAGGAAACCATAAGTACGAGCGTTCCATCCGAGAACGCATGCACAATTTGGCATTCCAACAAGTCGGGAACACAAACAAAGGCGTATGATGCTGACGAAGCGTTGGTAGTCGCTCGTGTTATTCAACAAATACGTGAGGGTGTCAACGGTGGTATCAATGGGCAAGACGGAGTCTCGTTCATTCAGCAATACTATCTGAATAAAGGACTGAAGATATTCAAGGAGCGAGGTGAAGACGCGGCCATGAAAGAACTTGACCAACTGATCAAGCGCAGTTGCTGGACACCGATCAGTATTGAGAAACTAAGACCGACCGAAAGAAAGAAGGCCGTAGATGCAATGATGCTGCTGGCCAAAAAGAATGATGGCGTGACGATCAAAGGACGCTGTGTATTCAAAGGTAACGAGACCCGGGATTGGTTGTCTCGTGAGGACACTGCAAGTCCACGGGTGTAATTGATGCCCATGAAGGTAGAAACGTCATGTCAATGGATATACCTAACGCGTTTATCCAAACATTGATGCCCGAGCAGGAAGAAGGAGAAGATTGAGTAATAATGAAAATTACTGGACTGCTGGTTGACTACATGATTGACCTAGATCCGACATATCGGGATTTTGTAGTAATCAAAAATGGACGTCAAGTGATCTATGTTGTGATCCTCCGTGCTATTTATGGGATGTTACAGGCTTCGTTGCTATGGTACTGAAATCTGAGGGCATCGCTGGAAGAATACCGATTTGTGTTTAATGTATACGATCCGTGCATTGCGAATATGATGGTCAACAAAAAGCAATTGACTATCAGGTTTCATGTTGATGATGTGCTAGCGAGCCACATGGAACAAAGAGTTCTTGAGGATTT